GCGAGTCTGAGTGTTTCTTTCTTAGATCTGAGAGTCTCATACCTTCTCATCCTGTCCTTCTTACCCTAAGTCTGGTCCTTTGGCTTTGAGAGGAAGGCGGCAGGCTGGCGTGTGGCCCGTACTCCGCACCAAGGTCTTTGTGGGAGGTTGCCCCACCGATTGCAGGAGCTCTGCCGGGACTCAGGCGGAGTCCTGGAGGCAGGGAACTGAGTGGTAATCCCTTGACTCCCTCTATAGACCCAACTATAACCCCTACCTGTAAATCTCTCTACGTTTGACTGAGTGGWTTGTGYGGATCCTGTACTTGATTTTGAGCTTGACTTTCAGGACATAAGTCAGATTGAAGTAAAGGAATGTATGGGCGATTTCAGTTTTAGTTTGTTGATTGCCTGAAAGCAGATTGTGAATGAAATGGGTTGTATTTGGGGGAAGGTTGGGAGAAAGGCAGTATTGGGTGCAGACTGATTGGGTCGTCAAGGCTGGGAGGTCCCCATAAGCTTAGGAAAGTCCAGCGCGTTGTTTATGGGTGTGTATGGAGCCTCAGACYGCTCTATAAGTTTAGGTGGCCTGAAGTTYTGGAGGCTGGGATGTCCCCATAAGTTTGGGGAGACSTGGTGCTGTGAATTGCATGGAGGGTCAGGACACTTTATAAGTTTAGGTGCCCTGACTGCTCTGACTTGTAAGGGCTTGAGTGTGAGTGATTTTCAGGACCCCAGGGCGCTCTATAATTTTAGGTACCCTGGGTTGCCGTGTTTATTTGGGGTTTTTTATGTTTCGTTAGCTCTGATCGAGGAGGCCTGGACCGCTCTATAAGTTTAGGTGGTTCAGCCCTTCTCCTGTTTCATTTTGAGGGAATAATTCTAGCAGGGGACATGCTGCTCTATAAGTTTAGGTAGCCTGCCCCACTGCCTCGCACAGACTGGATCAGAGAGAAACGAACCTCGCAGAGGATCAGACCGCTCTATAAGTTTAGGTAGTCTGACCCAATGTCTCGCACATGTTGGAACCCAATTGATATAATTTGGCTATATTGTATTACTATGCTATTAAGAACAGGCTGGTTAGGCCGCTTTATAAGTTTAGGTAGCCTGACTATAGCTTATCACAAAGAAGAGAGAATAACTAAGAGGTATAATTAAAGGTAAACCTGGGCAGGCTGAGCAGTGTTCTAAGTTGAGCGGCTCAGCCCTATGTCCCTTTGGAAGACTAAGTTCAGATATATATATATATATATATAATTTGGCTATTTAAACAGTTTAGGGTGACTAGAGTGGTCTAGTCATATACCCTAAGAAGGGAGAAGTAGTTGTGCCCTCTGTTTGTGTATACTTGGCAAAGTCAGAACGCTCTATAAGTTTAGGTATTCTGACTTTGGGCCTGGCTAAGCTGGGCGTGCTCTGTAAGTTCAGCTGGCCTGACCTATGCCTTATGTAAGTTGGGTATAATGGGATAACCTACAGAGGGAGCATGAACTATTGTTTGTTAAAGAGCTTGGGGTTGGTGAGAGTACTTATTTTTGTGGTCTGGCCTGCATGTGGTGGAGTGAGATTACTACTTGGTTTGGGCTTCAAGTTGACAGGTAGTTGCTTTAGAGGCTCGCCACGTGCTAGAGCGATAGGAGTTAGGTTAATTCCTACATTTTCTGAGTTGACTTTATTTTACTTAGATCGATTCTTGCATTTTCTGAGACTCGCTGTTATATTGAGCTTGTATAAATTTTGGTAAGCTACTTTCTCTACGGGAAGCGCTGCCGAAATTTTTACAGATTCAAGGAGTTGGACAAATTTTGACATGTCAAAGTTCAAACTTGCCTTTTTTATATATCTGACTTAGTAGAAACCTGGAAAGTCTCATTTTCTAAGGGGAGTGATGCCCAAATTTATGTTAATTCAGGGAGATAGACAAAATTGGACTTTGAGAAGTCAAAGTTAGTCTTAAGCTCTAAATTTAGCTTTGTATAAATTTTGGGAAAACACTTTTCTAGGGGGAGTGTTGCCGAAATTTCTGCAAAATTAAGGAGTTAGTCAGATTCCGTCTAAGTTGAACTCAAGGTTGGGGGCTGAGTTCAAATCTGACTTGGTATAAATCTGGGAAATCCCCAATTTCAAAGGGGATGCTGCCCAAATTCTTACTAATTCAGAGAGTTAGACAAAATTTGACTTTCAAGAGGTATAGATTACTCCGGCTTTTGATATTTGGGCTTGTATAGATTCTGAAAAGGCACTTTTCCTACGGGAAGCGCTGCCGAAATCTTCTTGAACTAGAGGAGTTAGATTATATTTTGACAGGTGGCGATTCTGGCAATCCGCCCTAAATAAGGAAGATTCTGCCATTAGTCTACCCTTGCTTGGGCACTGGCTTAGAGGCAAGCTTGGACTTAGTTGCCAGAAAACTCTGAGTGGGAATGTTCTATGGAGGTTTATCCCCCACATGCTGATGATTTAGCTTGGGTATTTGACCTATCTTGTGTTACAGGTTCTTTGGAATGTCTGATCCAAGATCAGTGATCCAAGATCAGGACTAGATTCAGCTTGATCCCTTGAGGGTCACCTTCTGTTATCATTGATAACAGGTCGGCTGCCGATTCGTTGGTTTACGACTCGATTTCAACCCACTCTCTATACTCAACCTAAAAGGCTTTAGCCCTGGTGGTTTCATTGTTTGTTAAGGGTTTCACCCGGACTTTTATTGAATGACCATTTAACAAAGGTACTGAGTATTTATTTGAGGTTGGTTGGATTGGCGATTGGGGCTTGCATGACTAAAGCGAAGGGGTATGAGCATAGAGAATGGTTGGGGTTGACTTCGTGTAGTGCGTGTTTTATCGCTCGATTTTTTATGTGATTGCAGGTATGTCCTGTGACTCGGATTTTTGGATTTGGACTGCCTACGACCCCATATACATATACATGGTTGTGAGGAGTCCCACTGTGCCTGCGAGAAGTGATCGTCACAACTTTATCTCCCTTTTGGATGTATGCGTGGGTATACTTACGATGAGTGTCCGAGAGGCCTAAGAGGCCATGTTAAAACCCGCTTAAAGGTTGGGGTTGAGGGACAGGGAAGGCCCTCCCTTCTGCCTATTTGCGTCTTGGGGGCTTTCTTAGTTGGATACTGGTCCCGGGCAGGGATTCAAGGTCCTTGTCCAGGACATCCCAAGCCCTAGGCCCTGCARGGGAGGAGTCTCCCCTCGCATARAGCCTATTTACTTTGGCCGGCGGRACACCTCACCTGGAAGRCRGAAATGTCGCRAGGGYCGAAYGRCATGTCSTTCAGCCGTTCAATATYRTGAGGGGAGACCCCTCGCGATGTGTTCCTTCARCCATTCAATATCGCGAGGKCRGAGCCRCRACTACCACGAACAATTGRCATCGGTAGTWRGTATAGAGTYGGCCTGCGGCCGCGCARCTTTATGGTAGAGTCYTGCGCGCGACGTCTCGCCRCCCCAGCGTCTARAAGTTATGGGRTCGYCGGGCTCGCAYGTAGGCRCAACGCTTGGGATTGSTGTAGGCCGYCGGCACCACTCGCAGAGGGGAAGGGTACCCCACGGTCGTGAGCCCCCTTAAAGCAAAGGGGGGCCCTTGCCCTGTTCCCCYTTCKTGGGTTCRTGCGTGGTTTGTTTGYTTTTTAGAGATTTTTTATGGTTGGACGTTGTAGTYYGTGGCAGCYGTCAAAGTCAAACCCCTTGACTTTCGCCCAGGCCCCGGGGAGGACTTACCCCTAGGGCCRCGARAGACGACYACMACCAYAKGCATGGSCMTGTGTACCACCCACTYTGCATAAGGGTGCAGAAGARGGTKTGYGRTCTTCAACCGCCCATGRCGGTTGTCTAGCGCTGAGAGATTAACCCTCAAGGCGCGTGTCAGCCGACACTTGAGTGTCGAATACGGCCCTYGAGATTAACGAGGACCGYGTGAGTATGGGTACTACATAGTACGCCATCATCGYGACCGCTTGCGCACATTTGCATTGCGAGTCGATWTGAGATAGCCTCGCGTCCGCGMGGTTTTATATCGGGTCTCGCRCGYGAMGCYTRTSCGATTTCCGCGTCGGAAAGTTATGGGTTGGCTACCGAGGKGCTAGGAGCRTTATCGCGTTGTTCGTGTTGTGTTRTCCTGCGAGAGTGCGTGRGCGTGTGTTCTTATTTTATATATTTGTTAAGAGTGATGTGCGTTATCGTGTCGTTTGGAGTGTGTGCGTGTGTGTATTTTGTTATCTCTGTGTTGTTAGAGTGGTGTGCGCGTGGTGTGTTGGATGCGTCCTAGTCGACCGACGACGAGTCGCGCTTGGGACCTCAGCCCCCCCGAGATGTCGGTTCGTGTGCGGGTCCAATAGGCGTATTACCGCACGTACCCCCTATACTACAGCGAACGAGAAACGCCTTCGGCTGGTCCACCTCTGCGATTGCAGTTGATCAACTTTCGTATTGTGGACTGGTAGCTCGGCGGGGATACGCCCACCGATAGGAGGTGACAGCTCCCGTAAGGTGGAGGTAAGCTATGCCTCGCGTAGGCCCTATCCTGTCGTAGGGGCTCACGAGAGGTATGGCTGGCGCACTTGGTCTGGGCGGCCTAAGGAAGCTCCATTTGCGTGTTCGTGTCGAAGTTGGTCCAACTCCTGCGTGACGCAGCCGAGAGGGTCCCGCGCTGCCGTGCGTGGTGTCGGACCGATGCGCTCAACAGGTGGCACCGTTGCCGGGGATAACGGAAGCCTATCGTTGTCCCTGGTGGAACGACATCCGGGTATGAGAGTGAGGGAGAAACTAGGCATATGAGTGAGTAAGGGAAAGACTATAAGATGGACGGTATGGTGATCTATATGAATGTGGGATGAATGATTGATTGATTGGCGGCTTGGATGACGACTTGAATAAGGCAAGTGTGTGAGGAGATCTTATGGTAAGGGTAGACCTTATCTATGTAGGCCTAAGGGAGAATGAGAAGAGAGATGTCTGTCAGGTCTAGAGCGTCGGATGCTTGAGGGGTCAACCCGATAGGGTCGTGAAGGATTGAGTCGCTGAGTGGGGTCTTTCGTCCTATCGTTTTTTATAACAGGAAGTTTGAAGCCGGAGGCGATTGGTCAAAATGCCAGAGGAGATGGCGGACGGGGGGAGAAGGCTTGTGACTCTCGACGACCTCATCGATGCCTTGGACAAGCGCGAGAGGACGTCGAGCAATGTCCCAAAGGTCGAGACATTCCATTTCAAGGGGGATCAGGTATCTGACTGGTTGGATCTGACAGAGCAGGCGCTGGTAGGGCTGTCAGATGAGGTCAAGCTCAAGCGGGTTCTAAGGTACGTCCTGCATAGTCACCATCGGGAAGTAAGTAAGGTCGTGGACGCCGCCGGTGGCAGTTGGACGAAGTTTGGGACCTGATGCGGAGGAAGTACAGGCTGGGGGATGGCCTGTTGACCATGGCCGGCTTGGAGGCCATGAATAAGGAAGACTTCTCTACCATCGGGGCGTTCGTGCACGAATTTAAGAAAAAGGCGAGGAAGGTGCACGGGATTTCGGAGGAGGCGCAGTGCGCCACATTTATGAGATTGCTTACGGGCTCGGAGGCCGCAGAATTGACAAAGCATGGGGAAGGGAGTGAGAAGCTCACCTGGACAACTATAGATAAAGGAGTGGAAGAAGGGAGCCTGGACCAGGTGGAGCAGCACCAGATGCGGCTGCAAAGGCGTAAGAGGAAGGAAAGGGATGCTACCGCATCCGGGACCCCAGGGGTAAAAAGGATTGTTACGGACGTGTTGGCAGCATTAGGGTAGGACAATGAGGCGGAAATACAGAAAAGAGGGGTGACTGTGGCGCAGGGTCGGGCGTCAGGGGCAGTAGATGAGGAGGCTGGGCGCGAAGACTATGGTGGGGAGGAGACGGGTTCCCAAGCCCTGACTAAGGCCCAGAGGAAGCAACGTAACTTGCTGCAGGGAGGGCAGGGATCAGGGAAGGGGCAGGCTCCCCAAGCCATCGCCTATCGCCGCGGCCTCGTCTCCGCCAGCAGGATCATCGCACATGGGGCCGCTGCCAACTTGTGGACACTGGGTGCCGCATTGTCAGTCCGCGCCCTGGCCCAGTTGCAACCACTGTGCCTCGTGTGGAGGGAGTCAAACCCACACGGGACACATGGTCCCCTATTCGGGCCCATCGGCAAGTATGGGTCCCCCGAGCTATCCGGCAACCCAAGGCCAGCCTGTGGCCCAACCGCCGCCCTCCCAACAGGCCTCGCAGGTTAGTGTGGCCGGGGGAGGGAGCCAAGGACAAGGCGGGCAAGGCAATGGGGGCCGGGGCCAAGGGGGCCGAGGAGGGGGTGGCCGGGGGTAAGGAGGAAGTGGTGGGGGCCGCGGGGGTGGTTGGAATAATCAAGGAGGTCAGAGCGAGGGCGGCCAAGGCAGCCAGGAGGGGGGCCAGGGATATGGGAGGCCCCGCTTCGATTGGCGGAATGCAACTTGTTGGCATTGCGGTGAGGTGGGCCACACCATACGGTTCTGCCAACAGCGTCGGAACGATGAGCTGGCGGGACTGATCTCCTCCTGTATGGACGGGGACATATACGATAGGTGGGGGAAGCACATCGATCCCAAGACCCCGGGAGGAATCAGGCAGGAAACCCTCAGGCGAGCGGCGGCAGGGCCACTAGCAGCCCCAACGATGTTCAGGATATGGCAGGAAAGGGAGGACCCGGGGGTGAGGGTCGAAGAGATCGTGGATGAGAGTGAGGAAGTGACTCAACAACTAAAGGCAGGGGCTATAAAGGAGAAGCCTATAGTCGTTGAGTCAGACGATGAGGCGCAGGAGGTGGTAAGAAAGTTAGCCTCAACCATCCTGGAGAGGATGAAGGACCTACTTGCGAAGGTGGGCAGGTACCAGGAACGATTGAGAGTGATGTGTGAAGAGGCCCGGGAGTGGGAAATGAACCTTCCTGAAGTAATGCGCTATGGGTCCGGCCCAGAGTCGTCATCAAGACCGCAAGGGTGTCCAAGCGTGGCAACAGTCGAGGCAGGTCCTAGGTCAGGGATGACCTTCAGGCCCCCTACGTCGCATGGAAGGGTACCACATGCCGCGCAGACTAGGGGCCAAAGTAAGGCTACCGCTAGTCAAGGGCCTAGCCAAGCACCTGGCCGGACGCCTCCTCGAAGGGAACCTGAGCCTGAACGTAGGAAAGAGGTAGTGGAGGTTCAGGAGGAGGAAGAGGAGGGTGATGACGAAGAGCATAAGAAGCTCCGGCATGAGGAGGACCAACGAGCCGAGCAGAGGGCCAAGAAGAGAGGGATTCAGGGCGGGGCGGAGCCGAGCCTGCACGACGGCGCGCCAAAAAGGAAGAAGTACGCGGTCCGGCTAGAGGAGGGCTTTGACGTGGAGCGAATGGTGGACAAACTCTTGGAGGGTCACAACGATTTGATGAATCTTAAAGACATCTTGGCGTCAGCACTGAGGCTCCGTGGTGAGCTGAAGGGGCGGCTCTCACGAAAGTTAGTGCCCAACGTCCACCTGAGCTCGATTTTGCCCAGGGACATAGAGTGGACAGAGGCGGGGACCAGGATGGATTGGAAATGTGTGGCATGTGGGTTGGTGGATCTGAAGGTGAGAGACCAGCCGAGCATCGCAATGGTGGACACAGGCGCTGAGATGAATATCATCAGGGAGCGGGACGCGACCATGCTAGGGCTGGAGGTTGACCATTCGGACCATGGTGTGCTGCACGGTGCCAACTGTAAGGCAATTTTCTGCGGCACCGCGTCTAATGTGATGGTGGAAATTGGGAGGGTAAGGGCGCGAACGTGCTACATGGTCATGCCCGATGTCGACCACCCTATCCTTCTGGGGAGGTCGTTCCTCTGCCGAACGGAGACCTTGGTCTTCAATAGGCATGAGGGGACGATGATCCTGACCCTATCTGATCCGGCCTGTGGGAACTACGAAATCATCAAGTGTCGGAACACAGGGCCCGGAAGTGGGAGGAATAGGCTCAACCTCGGCTCCTTTACCTTCGAGGAGTCAGAGTACGCGCGACAAAGGCTCCGGGAGGAACAAGAGGAGGAAGGAGCGGGCGAGGTATTGTCCCTGAGCCTCAGCGATGTAAATAAGGCAATGGAGGTGGTGGCGGCGCATGATATGGCGGACCCTGAAGCTATAAAGGCATTGAGGGAGCAGGTCCTAGAGAGCCCTCAGGTGGGAGAAGTGGAACTGATCTATTGGCTTCCAGGAAGGAAAGGGGACCTTGCGATGGCCCAGGCCTGAACGACAAGTCGGCCTTTTTTAGGGGAGGGCTTAAGCAGGGCTCCCAAAGGCGGTACAAGACTGTAGATAAGAAGTGTTGCCCAATCCTCGTGCTTGTTACAGAGGATGACGAGGCCTATTATGAGCGGGAGCGGAGACTGATCAGACGAATGCGGGAGCGTGCGTAGGCAGGGTCGTGCCATATTAGTGATGAGAACGAGGAGAGGCTGATAATTGGCGAACCTGGCTTCCTTTCGCCCCAGGAGAGGACCTTGATTGTAGAGACAATGAAGAGGAGGCATTGCGCATATGCGTTTAATGATGACGAGCATGGGAGGTTGGACGTGGATAAGATCCCAATGATACGAATCCATACCGTCCCACACGAGCCATGGAATCTGAGGGGCGCGCGATATCTGAATCCGGATGAAGAGAAGAAGGTGGTGGACTACCTGGACGGGAAAATGCGGACGTACATGACAGACTACTCCAGCGGACCGTATGCCTCCCCTTGGTTTTGCTTCATCAAGCCGAACGGGACGCTACGGTGGGTGCAGGACCTGCAACGTTTGAATGCGGTGACGGTGCGGGACGCAGGAGGATTGCCGAACGCGGACGCCCTGTCGGAGTCATGTGCAGGGAGGCCTATAATCTCACTTATAGACCTTTATTCTGGGTATGATCAGTTTCCTGTATACCCACCGGATAGGCCGGTGATGGCAATGCATACGCCAAGGGGGTTGATCCATATGAATGTGGCCCCTTAGGGATGGACTAATGTGGTGGCGATGGTGCAAAGGCACATGATTAGGGTCATGCAAACGGTTAGTTCACATATCACTCAACCCTACATTGACGATTTGGCGGTCAAGGGCCCAAAGGAGAAGGAGGAAGACGAAGTGATGCCAGGAGTGAGGCGGTTCGTCTGGAAGCATATCCAGGATATTGATCAGGTTCTGGGTCTGCTGGAAGAGCATAACTTGACGGCGAGCATCCCCAAGTCAAAGCACTGTATGAGGGAGGCCACGATTCTAGGCTTTGTCTGCAATGAGAAGGGGCGAAGGCCCGATGCGAAGAAAACGGACAAGATCCTAGAGTGGCCAGTCCCCTTTCAGTCGATAACGGATGTGAGAAGCTTCCTTGGGACCTGCGGGTTTTGGAGGAGTTTTGTGAAGGACTTCGCCACTAAGACGGAGCATTTGAGGAAGCTGGTGCGTCAGGATCAGGAGTGGGTCTGGGGTGAAGACCAGGAGAAAGTTGTAGAAAGGATGAAGGGAGAATTCAAGGAAGGAGGCTTGGTGCTGGGAGCGCCAAATTATGAGGCCACGGAGGAAAAGACATTCGTGGTCGAGACGGATGCTGGGCCAACTGCCTTAGGAGGGGTCCTGATTCAGGCAGATGCGGATGGGAAGGAGAGGCCGCTAAGGTTCGAAAGTCGTACTCTCAATACGACTGAGAGAAATTACTCGCAGTTTAAGAAGGAGATGTTGACGGTGCTCCATTGCCTAAGGACCTTCCGGAACTATATCTTTGGCAGGAGGCTCATTTTGAGGGTGGACCCTACTGCGCTTGCGTGTTCCCTGAAAAGTTATACTCCATCTGACCCAACCATCACGAGGTGGTTGACTTACATTTGGATGTTTAACTTTGAGTTGGAGAGGATTCCAGGGGACAAAAACAGGGCGGATGGGCTGAGCCGTATCAACTAGGATGGGGCGGGCCAGGAGTCAATTGAGGATACCCCACCAGTCGACGGGTTCTTGGATCAGGAGGAGGATGTCCGCCTCCACATAAACAAATGGTCGTTGAGGGTGCCTAGCTGCGTCACGCATCCCATATGGCTAGCGCCAATGGGGTACGAGCGAAAGGAGGAGTTGGTTGTCAAGCCCTTCCAAGAAGAGGATCCGTGGGGGAGTAGGGATGTTGGATGGATGATGAAGTTGGCATTGGCTGGTACACATAGTCCGACGGAGGAAGTGAGGACGATAAAGGAAGGCCCAACCCAGGTAGAGGAGCATGAGCAATTAATGGGAGGGATGTATTTGCTCACTAATACGCTCCTGCAGGGGAACTTTAACCAGAGGGGCTCATTTGGTCCTGAGGAGAGTGAACTTCTTGTTCCTGAAAGTCAGGACGATGAGTTCGAAGAGGGAGAGATCAAGGAGGCGTTTCGCGCAAAAGAGTATGATGGGATCTATCGGGAATCGGGGTAACTTCTGTCACGCGAGATAAGGGATAGAGACGCAAGTGCGAAAGCCCAGAAGATGAGGCATCTCTACGTAGTAAGAGATTGCCATCTGTTTATAAAGCGACAGGTTGGGAACCCCAAGAGGATCGTATATGGGAGGAAACGACGGATCGATGTCATAGCAGCCCTACACGATGGTATAGCAGGGGGGCACATAGGGGTTAGTGCCACGTGCGCAAAGATAAGCGAGTTATACCATTGAGATGGAATGCTGACTATGGTCATCAAGTACTGCCAGTCATGTGTACCTTGCCAGCAGAGGTCAGCGCAAAGGCCTGGGAAGCCTCTGCACCCCAGGTTGGAAAGGGAAGTGGGTGCAGTCGTGCACTTGGACCTGTTGTTTATGCCACTCTGGGAGGATGGAAGTAACTATATCTTCGACGCACGGGACAACCTTACCGGATTCGTGGACGGTCGGGTTATTCACACAAAGACTGGTCCAGTTTTAGCAAGGTGTATCGAAGAGTACTACCTGCGCTATCCGTTTGTCAGAGAATTTGTGATGGACCGGGGGTCGGAATTCACCTGTAACGAGGTGCGGACCTTACTTGCGGGGTATGGCGTGGTAGCAAACTATACTACTGCCGCGCACCCCCAAGTAAATGCACATGTGGAGAAGGGGCACAGTACCATCACGAATCTTCTGGCCAAATGGACTGAGGGAAGGCCTAACCAGTGGCCGAAGTTCCTGAGAGCAGCTTTCTTCGTGGAAAATGTTACAGTAAAAAAGACTACCAAGTATCCGCCAGCCACCCTATGGTACGGGAGGCATGCCACCTTTCCCATAGAAAGTTTCATGAAGACGTGGAGGCGCCAGGACTTGGAAGTGAACTTGTCTTTCAAAGAACTGCTCGATATTCGGGCGCGGCAGGTGGGAGCGGCTGAGGAAAGGCTGCGAGAAGCCGCTGGTCAGGTAGAGAGAAACCGTATGGCGGACAAGATGGGATGGGACCAGATGGTCCGTGTAAGAAAGGATCTGCTGAAGGTTGGAGATGTGGTACTGCTGTATGACTCCTCGCTGGAAAAACAATGGTCTAGGAAACTCGACAAACGGTGGCTGGGACCCTGTAGGATCGTGCGGTGTGGCGAGTTTGGGGCCTACCAAATTGAAGAGCTGGATGGGGCGGGGTGGCAGGACTGGGTATCAGGGACAAGGCTGAAGAAGTTCGTGGCCAGGGAATAGATAAGGGACCATGAGACCTCGTTAGGAATAGAGTCTTGCCCAGGTATTACCCATGTTAGATGATTAGATAGATGACTGATTGAAGTGGATGGATGTGGAGTGTATGTGGGATTTCCCTAAGCCAATAGGCTCAGTTGCTGACCCTGCTGTGTGCCTGTTTGCTGTCTCTCGCCTGTTGTGCAGGTCTGACTTTTCAAAGGCAATCATGCAGAGGGGCGGGAGGGACGCACGGCCACGGCAGGAGCCCCAGAGGGCAGCGGGGAGAGGCGAGCAGCACAAGCCGCCTAGGAGGGAGCCTACACCTGAGTTCGATGACGATAATATAGAGCTCTTCCTTGACGTGTATCGGGATCACGCGGCACAGGGAGGGTGGTAAGTGGCGGAGAGGATTCACCACTTTAGGGGTATAGGGCGATTTGAGGAGCCTGTCACTCAGATATGTGAGGAGGCCCTGACTTGGCCAGATGTGGAGGCAGGGATGTAGAGACTGAGGGCTTCGCCCAGGGGACGTGACGGCATGCCCATTCGGTTAGAGGAAGGGAACGTGGAGGAGTTTATTCCCGCGTATGAGCACTACATGTTGAGTCAAGGGATTGCGCGGGAGGAGTGGGTACAGGCCCTACTTATTTGGACGAGGGGGGCAGAGAGGCCGGTGGCCAGACAGATCCGGGAGAGAGCTCGAGATTGGGAGGACTGCCAGGCCCAGCTCAGGAGGGCGTTCGGACGGCCAGAGCGTGAGAGGCCCGAGCCCAGGGTCGAGAGGCGAAGGCGAAGCAAGAGGCCAAGGGAACCAGCGCCGAGAGAGGTGGGGCTGGCCAGAGAGAGGAGGAGGGCCCCGGCACAGCGGGAGGATGATTCCGCAGGGCCCGCATCGGCGGAGGAGTCGTTCCCTGCTTGTGGCCTCCGGGCAGTTGAGTTTCGGCGGATTACGAGCGAGGAACTGAGACCGCCCTCACCGTTGCCATCAGGGCAGGAGTTGGACATACCAGGAGAGACGCCATTCCGGAGCTTAACGACTCACCTTGATGTATCTCGACGGGAGGCCTCACGGTTGGGGGAGGGCTCAATTGAGCCGGCGCGCTATGTGCCGTTGGAGGAGCCTTTGGACCCCGAGACGGAGACGGACATGCGAGACTGAGAGGGGCCGCAGGATCCTGGGATGGAAGCCGAGCAGTCGGATCCGGTACGGCCTCAGGGCGGGGAGGTGATCACGGCCGGAGACGATACCCCTCCATGCTCCCCAGTTCCAGAGCCAGCACATCATTCATGGCCAGAGGGGATTCCTGAGCCAGGCAGCAAGGAGATTGCAGAGTTTCCCCAAGAGATCACTGCGGTGCCTGAGCAGGAGGCAGAGATGGAGGAGCAGGGGGCGGGTGAGGGAGCGAGGATGGAGGCGATTCACGATTTACCCTCCGTTGTACCCGCGATCGAGCGCCCAGCTATCGAGGAGCCTATACAGGAAGGGCTACCGCCGGCATTGCCGAGTACGAGCGAGAGGATGGGTGCCGAGGCGTCGACTCCGGAAGGCCAGGGGCCGCGAGTGAGAAGAGCCCCAAGAGAAACCCGCGAAGAGAAGTCCACCAGAGTGTGAGTCTGTTTGGATGAAATACACGCGAGGCAGGCTGAGATGGAGGCAACAGGGATAGAGCCGACGCCGCCGGTCGAGCCCAAGACGAGCGAGCAGAGGATCGACGAGTTGTGGGTCAGATATGAGAGCCAGAGGGATGCAGCCTGACAGAGGTCATGAGAGACGAGACAGGCGGACGAGGAGGCGGGTGAGCTGACGGAGATGGGGGACTTGGGGTTCTCTGTGACTAGGATGGCGATCGAGCTCGGGGATAGGAGGATGCGCGAGGTGGAAGTTACACCGTTCCAGCGGTATAGCCTACTAGACGACGAGGTCACGACCAGGAGGTTGGAGGTGGAGCACCTGACTACTCAGCTTGCGGAGGAGAGGGCGAGGAGCCAGGCCCGAGAGGTCAAGTGGGAGAGGAGATTTGGGGAGATGGCAGCCATTGTGGACAGACTCTCGGCAACCTGGGAGGCTAGTCAGACAGGACGAGTTGGTGCCGATGGCCAGGGCCGGGGGATGCACGCTTCGCCGATTCGGGGAGCAGCGGTGGAGGCCCCTCGACAGGCCGGGCCAATGGGGGAGGTGCCCTTGGACATGGCCGAGGAGGAGGGTGGCGCACAGGAGTCGCTTATGGCTATGTCCACGGAGAGGAGAGGCTCGCATTCGCATGAGCTGGCGGCAGCCATGGGGATAGGTACCCCACAGGAGAGGCCTTGGAGACTCGACACTTCAGAGTACGCCCCGAGGTTGGGAGAGCTGAGGGCGGAGCTGGGCTCTTGGGCCACACGGACAGACTCGGGAGGACCTGATTCAGGGCGGCAGCAGCAACAGGAGGTCACGAGTGAGCCGGCCGCCGTTGCAGGCTCTCAGCCGTCAGGAGCATGTGGGGATGTGGTTGTGACAGAGAGGCCTCATGAGGAGGGACCCCGAGAGCTGGACACGTCAGATTACAGGCCAGTGAGCACAACCATACGGGAGGGTGAGAGTGTTGAGGCTATGGAGTCCGGACCTCAGGGCCACATGGGATTACCCTCGTGTCATGAGGTGACCACTGAGACTATGGGGACGCCTTCAGCATTGAGTTCCCAGGGGAGAAAGAAGAAGACTACCAGGTGGCACGATACCTCCTGCTTTTGGTGCAAGGAGGAAGGGCATAGAGCCGTGAACTGCCCAGAACTCCTCGAGGATAAGGCCGAGGGGCGAGTTGCGGAGTTCAACGGCAAGTTCTATAACAGGCAGGGCAGGATAGTGGAGCGGGCTCCAGATGGGGGCAGGGCTCAGTTATATAGGCAGAACCAGGAGGAACTGTGTAAGTAGGGACTGGTCCGTCTATGTGTCAGTAGGGTCAAAGTATTTGGCACACAGGGGGCGGGTTGGAGGTGTACATATGTTTAGTTGGTCGAGGGGGCCCTAGATGTGTGCGTGCTTTAGAGGTGGTAGGATGAGTCTCTGCCTGCTTATACATACATAGTTGATCATGGTTTCCTTGAGCCTTTCTTTCACGGGCTACGGCTTAGGACATGGGGGTCGGCCGTAGGACACGTGAGACTATTCGGTCCACTTTTGGCTTGCGGTGCGAAGACTATTTGGATTTTGAGAGAGACTTGGGCATGAGTTTTCCATAGTTGGGTGGGACAGGGGGTTAGGCGCCCATTAGATTTTAGGTAGACGCTGTGTCCCCGAGTGTGTTCCGCGAGTGTACAGTGGGGTCGGGAGCCATGGTCAGAGGGATAGAGTTTGAGTTGAGTGTTTGTGCCTGATTCTTGAGGGAAACATTCTACTCTCTGAGTGTATTATGAGTTGAGATTCTGTGGGACTCGTCTTGTGACGGCCACTATCACTCTCACATGTGTGGTTTTATCCTGTTGTATGATTGGCTTTGTGTGAGGGGTGTACATGTTACATCTCATGGGCATGATTGTGTAAACCGTAAAGTTGTCTACCCTCCGGTATACTCGTGCGGTCTGCTTGTGAGCGGACGAGAGGGCAGAGTATAAGGAGGGGAAGTGCAGCCTGTTTGTAAAAAATTGTGAGAATCCTACGGGATTGATGAATTCAAAAATTTGCATGCTTGGTTCTACTAAACACGGTTGTCTAAGTTGTACAAAGACCCAGACGATGGCCCTTCAGTTTGAGTTGTTTGATGGTAAAGACCCCCTTCATGGTTATGGAGGGTAGGAATTGTGTTATCGCCGGGGCCCCTTCATGGTTTTGGAAGGGGCCGTGCAAAAGTTCATCCCGAACAAAAAGGGGGGTGAATACGAGAAGAAGCACCCTTTACTAAGTAAGGGTGGGTAAAAATTGACTGGTATGAAAGGCATTGTCTGTGTTGGTAAAGTCTGACGAGAGGGAACCATGTTTGCTTGAAACGTTTGAAAAGGGCAAGAGATGCCTAAGGGTGGGCGACTGCTGGCTCTGATCAAGTCAGGAATCGCGGCCTTGTGGATCCGGCAGGGAGACTGTTTGTGAATGAGCGAAGGATGCCGTGCCTATTGTAGGAGGGTCAGTAAATGCCTTCAGACCCCGGCGTAGTCCCGCAGCGGCCTGTGAATTGTTTGTGCTGCCCCGCCGGGCCACCTGTGCTTATTCTGAGACATATTTGAAGGAATACCAAGCTAACGGTAAAGTTTAGTGCCACCTGGGCGCAACCCCTAGTGGATGGCTGCTAGCCGGCACAACCTGGCTGCGGGCCCGCGAGGTAAGAGTTTAAGGGGAGTTGCCCGCCCCAGAGAAATTACTCCGCGGGATAGGAGTCGAGTCTTTTGGAAAGTCCTGATTGACTGATTATCAGGAAAAACGCCTATCGTTGTATAACCAACGGGAGGATACCGCCGCTAAGGTAATAATGAGGTGGGCCGTAGACCTGGCCCGATCAACCAGGCTATGGTGGGCCAAGATGAAGACCTGGCGTTTCTGTACTAGACTCCAGAAAGGGCCGAGAGAGGCTATAAGCCATACGTATATATTATGTTTGATTGTGAGAAAATTGCTGAGAGAAGGCAAGAATGCCTTCACAGGTCCCATTCAAAGCCCGCGTCCCCAGTTATGGCTCTGTCTACGAGAAAGAGGCTAACTGGGACACCCAACGAGAGGCCGACGGTTGTCTAGGATGGAAGGGGAAGAGGATGGTTTGGGGGCCTTTGGAACTTATGTTGTAGTATTGATGTGTATTGAAACCCTGGCAGCATATAGTTGTGTTGGCATGGGTTGATGGAGGCCTCACCCCTGAGTCTCTCGGCCAATCGGATTGGTCCTAACCTCGTTAGCATTTGGAGTGCGAATGAAATTATAGCTTTCAGATTTGGCGGAGCGACGGGGACGTCGCTTAATATGGTCCGGTAAGCTGTCGGGGCGAATACCCTTACAAGGGTATCCGCCCTGGTTTTTGCAAGTGACAGAAAGGCTCGATTAGCCTGAAATTTTGGGTGCCTGTGTGGTAAATACGAGGGTCGTCCGCACACGGGCAAAGGTCTGCCTTGTCCCAGTAGGGAGTATGTGTGCGCGCAATTTCAAGGCGCGCGTGTGATCTCTTTGATTGAATGTGTGGCCGGGGTAGCCGGCCGACCTAGACCATATGACGGGCTTGGTTACCTTTGGGCGGCGCGCGTGACCGACGGCGAGACTGGCGTGCCGGTAGGCGCACGGGGCGGCCACGGCGCGGGATGGTGGGCTGGCTCGGACGCTTACGGGCCGTGGGTACTAATGTGGGCCGAGAGAGTGTCCGGGGCAGTATCTTGGCCCGGAGCACCGCGCGACACCACGTTATAGGGGAGGCCGCGCCTGCTGATACCAGGCTTGGGCTTAACCCTATAGGTTACGACACTGAACTTACACGGAAGAGGCGCGGGGATCGAGGCTGGGGGATGACAGTGTAGGAGCAATGGAGCGGTGTGAAGCTGAGGGGTTGAGGGTCCCGCGGGACTATCGCCCTCGGTTTTGCTGAGGGGGCCCGCGGACAGTGTTCCTCTCCCTATTGGCGGCTCCACCCCTTCCCCCGTATTTCAGGGGGGGTATTTTGCTTTTTTTGTTTTACTTATATTGCTCTTCCCTTCGTTCAAGCTCTCTGAGTTCAGAGCTGTAGGGGGGGCGATATTGCACCTTCGGGGCCGATCGTTCGGGTTGTCGGCCTGGTAGAGTAGACGCAATTCAAAACTTGAACAGCCCCAGAGGGGCAGCGAGGAACCAACAACGAAAGGGAGGTTTGCATGGATCATCGTGATCCGGGAGTGAACCCGGACGAGGGTCGTGGCCTGGGCCACGCCCGATGTATACGAAGCGGAGGAGTCCCTTTGAAGGGCGGGGAGATCTGCGACATGAGAAAGATCCGCACAACCCCCATGCAGAGGTGATATTCAGGGGGCGAACCCGGATGGAAACCGGGTTAGGGGCGTGCGGAAAAGTAAAAGAAAAAGGGGGATTTTTGTTCTAGGTTTAGTTTTTGTTTTCTGCCTTCTTTTTGGCTTGTCGAGGTCGGTCAATTTTACTTACGCGGCCACTGGGGAGGTCGGGAGTGATATAGAGGAGATTTGCCTAGCCTATGCGCAAGGCTCCTGTGTATAGACCTTAAGAGAGAGGCCAGGTCCATGTGAAGAAGAGCTAAGTGAGTGAGGGCAGCAAGGCGGATCTCCGCTGGATAGAGTCTGAGTGAGACAGAGGGGATCCGCGGAGCCAACAAGGTGAGGAGAGCCGGGAATGAACCCGGACGTGGATCGAGGCCAGGCGCGTGCGCGGTAGACGGTGGCCCTTCGCTCCGCGGCGGGGCGTTCCCCTCTGGCCGGGTCGTTCGGGACATCCATAAAAATTGAAACGATACAGAGAAGATTTGCCCGGCCCCCGCACGAGGCTGACAAGCATAAGTCCCGAAAGAGGGGCCGGGTTCACGTGCCGAGGTAGGGCGAGGCTGCAGCCTCGCGGACTGGCGTTGCCGCGGTCGAAATCCCTCGTGACATTCGCGAAAACTGGGACGATAACAGGGAAGATTAGTTGGACCCCTGCGTGAGCTGAAGCGTATAAATCAGGGGCCGGCGCTCCTGTCCAATCTGCTTTGCTCCATTTTTCCCCGGCCCGAATTCGCGAGGTCCGGTTACAGTGTGCTGCCTGGCCATAGTGCGTTTGGATTCGGATGACGTCAACGCAACAGGGAAGGTGTCGGGGATGGCGGAAAGTGGGAGAGAGCGCATCGAGGAGTGACAAGCTCGCTCAGTTCGGGGTCGTTTTGAGCAGGGGACGTGGCAACCTCGGGGTTTTTGCCCCGGGCGAGTGTAATGGTGAGGTCGGATTTAGCGTTAGTTTAGTAGAATAGGAATTAATGAGAGAATGAATCGTGGGCGATGGTGGAGGAGAGGTATCGTGAGGGAGAAATACACCTATCGCACGCTTCCTCTACAGAGTTAAGCAAGGGACGAGTCTAAGTTGGGGTTTCTAACCATTGCGAGTGCGAGGACGGTGTCAGACTTGGGACGCAGGGGTCAGTTTTGGGATTGTAAGTTGAAGAAGCTGCGCGGGGAGACTGGGTTTTTCGAAAGTACTAATGTAGCTCTCCGCGTTTTAGCGGGAGATACACTCTATTTCACCCACCTTATCGGTGGAGGTAGCACACGGCCAGCCGAGCGGTAGGGGGTCTGCCTGATTAACCCAGGGGGGGGGCCGCGGAGCACTAAGGAGAGGACTCGGGAGTGGAGGACGTATCCTCTCGAGTTCTAAGGAGGGGTTCATCCGAACTTTGCCTGCCTCGGGGCCGACCGCGCGGTGGAGACGAGAGCTTGAGAGGCAGCACTGCAGTGTAGCCCGCTGTTTGACGGGCGACCGCCAAGCTCATTCTAAGCAGGCTAGGACTGGTGGCGGTTACGGGACCAGCTAGTGTATCGCACTGAGAAGAAGGGGCTCGCGGTGCATGCCGGAAACTCGGTTGTAGACTGTGTGGTCGGTGAATGACAATGTGCACGAACGAGTTGGTGAAAGTTAGTGAATTGGGGGTGGGAAGAAAAGGCGGGTAGAGAGGGGGCATCGGAGAAGGTGAAAGCCCTGTCGACCGCCGGCAGATGTTGTGCAACAGGCTGTTGTACGGGAAGGGGGCCCGCAGTTGTATGGGGCTTGCAGGCGGGCCGTTACCACGTGGCTCGCTGTTCGTACCAGCTGGCTACAGCCGTTGCCGGATTGCTAACTATAACGGTTGTCTACGATTTCACTGACGAGGGGGGGGGTATTGCAGTCCTACCTGCTGACTTCGTAAGCTGCGGCTGGAGTCTTTGTGCCTACAGGTGTTACTGTAATTACTGTCGCTCCCCACAGTGCCAGGCGGCTATGTCACCTATGTGCAGCGGCCCAGCGCACAGTATTTTCTGCGGGACAACTGCAGTGTTCCCTGATTGCTTTTGCCGCAGGCACGACCGTTGTCCTGGCTACGTGGTTATTGCGGCGACCACTGAGCTTATGGCAGGCTGCTGCGTGTTTGAGTGAAGCCATTTGAGAACCATGTGACGGTAACTCCGTCAAGGAAGGCGACAGCGGGGTGAGAGGAGAGTGATCGGATCATTGCGGCAGTGTGAAGGAAGTGGAGTGATGGCAGAAGGGGGAGGTTGACTC